TATATATATATATACATATATATATACATATATATATACTACAATATCACTCAACAAGCAATTAGTACTGATAATGGTGGTTGTAAATCATCATCAAAACATAAGGGCTAACAGTTACATCCCTAGTGCCATGATCGAGAGTATATATATACATATATACTACAATATCACTCAACAAGCAATTAGTACTGATAATGGTGGTTGTAAATCATCATCAAAACATAAGGGCTAACAGTTACATCCCTAGTGCCATGATCGAGAGAGATGTAAGCTTTTAAACTAAATTAAAATGGCAATTCTTTTTTTATTAAGATATTATTTGCTAAGTTATGTATATATTGATTAAGTCGCAGATCAATGTTTTTGATGAGATTGACGCTGATATAAATGAGCATATCAATGATATTTATGATTCGACGGTGTTAAGGATCTTTAATAGGATCAGACAGAGAATAGCAAACATGTTCCATAAAAATCATGTCGACGAGTTTGAAGGCCGCGAGGACAGGTCAAGCTAATTTGGTCAAGTGTACACGCGAAGACGTAGGACAAGTCAAAGGGCAGAGCATGAAGATGGAGCCGACACTTCTCATAGAACGGCACATGCTGATGGAGTCGACACTTCTCGGCCTCATACACAACTAGATACCCAGATCATCGATGCTCATCATCATGGAAAGAAGGGGCGGGGATGGGAGGGAGTGAGGGGAAGGGGTAAGTGAGGGAGAGGAAGGAGAGGATGACTTTTGGGATGTATGTGAAATTTAACAGTATGATTATGAATTTCAAGAACGATATGGTTAGATTGTTCAAATTTATTACTTTTGTGTATCGATTATTGTTTATATATGTGATTTTCGTGTGTATTATTTGATTCATGTTTGAATTTTATGAATATTGTTATAATTCAGTATATATGTGATTTTCGTGTGTATTGTTTGATTCATGTATATTGTTGTGAATGAGACATAAATTTCATGTATATTGTTGTGAATGAGGCGGAAATATTCAAGTATATTGTTATAAATTTTTTTTCATGTATATAAAAAACATGCACACATTCTATGCATATTTTTTGAAACCTGCAACTCCATGGGATTTCAAAATCCTATGAAGTTGCAGGCTAAATTCTAGAGAGCAATGTTCTCTGGAATTTAGCCTTGTTGATGTTTTAGTGATCACACGGTCAAATGTATTTGTTATTGGATGGGGTTGTTGAGTGTTGATGAGGGGTTGTTTTCTTCCCCGACTTTATGTCTGGTTCTGAGTAGGGTAGCTGAAAAATCTGCACAAAGTAGAAACATGTGAGAGGACGAGGCTTGAATCCCCCGTAGTTCCTCCGACGATCAAGTCAGCTGGTGAGTTTGAGTGGGAAAAATAAAGAACTGTCTGTGTTCTTGTGTGTGCATTATGTTTGCTTAAAGATCAGATTTGTGAATCCAAAAAGATAAGATCTAAGATTAGATCCAGATTCTGATCCTAAAAAAAGATCCCCTCCAAGTTCAAATAGTGCATCTATTTATACCGAGGGTATAAGGGTAGATTGGCCACTTCGGTCCGAACATAGGATGACAGTGGCGAAGTGTGGGCCGACGTCTGAGTCAGCACCTACTTTATAGGTGTCGGTTGGCGACTGCGCGATTAGCTCAGCGTTAAATGGGAAGTGATAGGAGGTATGGTGGTGCATACGTGGTCCAATGAGTCATGAAAGCTATCAAGGCTAGAGGCATGATGCGCCCGTCATGCATTAAATGCGATGCTGACACGTTGCCAGGGGAGAGACTCGAGGCTGAAGTTGTCATTTAGCTTCGTCGAGAAGTAATGCCTTTCGAGTCGTCCTCGTGAGGCGTCAAATATCCGGTCGAGCGGGCTCATGGCGAGTCGTCTTCGACAAGAGGGTCGACTGGTACCGCCTTTCGAGTCGACATTAAGTAATGTCGACCCGACGAGTCGGCTAAGTTGGAATTCTCTCTGGTCTCTGGCCGCCAACTTGATTGGGGCATTGGATACATAATTACACATGTCCGTTACTTAGCAGTGAGTTACACTTTGACGAATGTGAACACCATAACAAGCCTGAAGCTTTACTAGGATTTAAAATCCTGTGAAGTTTAAGCTTCACGAGATTTCAAATCCCGTAAAGTTAGCTTTTGCTTCCCCAATCAACACACTAATGGAGGGCTTAGACTTCACGAGATTTCATATCCCGTGATGTTTTTGATGTTTCTTCATCATTTTCAACCCAATTTCAGCTAGGTGGTTGAAACTGGATTGAAAATAATAATTATTTTCAAAATAAGTCGTTTTTTACAAGTAAGTTTCTAAACGGGTGTATTTTGAAAATTTGTCCCTTATTTGGATCGGCCCCTAATCAATTTATATTTTTGGTTCCCAGCGCTTCATCGATCTTCTGCTTGCCAATATATAAAAAAATGGCGCTCCGCCTCTCCCGCCTCCGCAAGGTCCACCAACCCCTCTCCATCTTCTCCGTCGCCCCCCACTCCCAAAACCCTAACCCTAACCCTTTCAATCCCCTCCCCATCTCCCTAACCCACCCCAAAACCCTAGAAACCCTACTCTTCTCCTCCAGTAACCCTAGAATCGCCTCGCCGCCGCATCGCCGGATCTTGGACTGGTTCGTATCCAACATCTCGATCGCTTCGATCTCCAGCTCGTCGCGATCTACGAAGGAGGAGGTTGACAAAGAGAGATCGGGGGATCCGAAGGATTTCAGTTCGAGCTCGTGGATCGATCTGTACTTGCCGAAGGCGACGAGGCCGTACGCGATGCTTGCGAGGCTGGACAAGCCGATTGGGACGTGGTTGCTAGCTTGGCCTTGCATGTGGTAATTGCGATTTAAGTGCATTTGGTGGAAGATGCAAATTTTAAATTGTTAGTCGTGGTTTAAGTACTAGTTATGAGCTAAATTGCTACTTGTTCAGTTAGGGAAGAATTTATTTGCTTTTTGTATTGATGATGCTAGAGGCTTAGAACAAATCAACTTTAAGGGCTTGATAGGGGATAGAAGAGGTTACCCTGAGATATACCAACCCATATCAAGTATATAGTTATCATACAGGACAGGAAGTGGGGATACTATGCACGATCCGGAAGAAAGAAACATATATCCTATGTGAAAATTAACTGCATGACAAGCCTTTTCAGCTATGTTAGAAATTTTAATTAAATAAGAAGAAAAGGCTTGTCATGCAGTTAATTTATGTGATACTCGAAAAGCCTTTAAAGCAAGATTTATGTGATACTCGAAAAGACAGGAAACAGTTAAGTGAATATAAATCTTATTGTGCTATGATTAGTAATGTGCTCATTCTCCATATAACTTTTTCAATTGAGTTGTTATTACAAAAATTCTATTTCAATATCAGTTCAAGTAAAGTTAGTTTCCCCTTTTGAACAGTTACTATTTCTCCAAACTAGAAAGAGTACTTTCTAGAGTACTTTCCAAACTAGAAAGAGTAGTGTCACATGAGCTCATACAAGATAAGTAAGCACAATGTATTATTAAAATATCATATATGGGTGTCAGAAACAACTATTGTTTTTGGACATCCCATGACGTGATTATTGTAAACTAGTTTTCCTAATATGATTGTCTTATTCATACCCATGAGTGTGTCATAATTATTATTACACAACCTATTTGGCATATGTGTGGGTATTGGATTAAGGTTGATTATGCCAATTGCTATAGTGATTTATAATTAGGTCTGGTCTAGGATTATGATGTAACGTGTTCGGGTAAAATTTGGTTTTTTTCAATATTCACAAATTAGTGCTTAGGTTAAGGCTTAGGATATTGGTTTCTTAAGATACGATAGAGGTGATAATAAATTGGGTTAAAGATATGTATAGATCAATTTTATGATAACCAAGGCAATCAACGCTCTACGAAAAGATTTGTATGTCTAGGGAAGCCATGTGTATTTGGTTCCTTCCACTGGGAGGCCTGGGGGATATACATAATGCTACATTGTGAAGAAGAAATTTTAACAAATAGAATACATGATGATCTCTGGGTCATATTGGAGCAACCTTACTGTTGTTGAAGCCTCACGCTATACGAACTTGATTTGTGTGCAGAGGAGGTAATAAGACCCACAGAGTGTTCTGTATAGTGGTTTTAAGGTTAAATTCAAGGAGTAAAAACCATTGTTGTAGGCTATGGAATGTGGATTATGTGTACTTAGAGGTGTTTGAAAGTGTTTTTCGAGGGTTTATGAAGCGAGCGACAAGTCAACAAGTGTGCGTATAGGAGGATAAACTTTTCTATTGTAGGTTACGTTTCTATCACATTGGAAGATAGAATCTCTTGGGTGCTAAGAGAAATTCCTAGTGACAGGGTGTATGGACCAGATGGCTTTGCACAGTTGAACCCTGATTCAATCTATAAACTGAGTCACTGAGCTAGGTCTTCTTCATACCTCAACATATCCCATGTTGTGATAAAAGAGGGTAGTATAATGCAATTAATGAAACATTAGGAGAATAAAGCGCAGCTGAAAATTAGATCTACATGCGTGGCATATTAGTGAATTTTTTGGTCTTCTACCTCTTCAATTAAGCCTATTCTCAGTCATACGCTCCAAAGTACTTAGTTCTTTTATCTGAGAAAGTCTAGAGGAAGTGAAGATGATGAGACTCACAATGAGAATTACAATCTCCTCCTGACCATTTCAATACCTATCAGTAAAATTCTAATGGATTTGTGTACTTTGTCTCTCTTCTTCTTCTTCATATATATATATATATATATATATATATATATATATTATATATATATATATAGGAACTTGGTACCAAGCACAAATTTTGTGCTTGGTAGTAAGGTGTCTCATTATCATCCACTCTCCAACCATGTGAATGTAGTCCCCCATTTGAACGGGTGGATGGGAATGAGCCACCTCACTACCATGTACAAAAACATGTACAAAAACTTGTGCTTGATACCAAGGACCTCCATATTGCACACGCATACATATCCTTGTGTACGGGTGGGTGTATGGGTGGGTGGGTGCGAGCGTGCGTGCGTTGTCTGTGTCAGTTTTATTGGTCATCTGGAGTCTTAAGAGAGTTGGCTATTTGAAATTGTTAACTAATGAATTAAGTCAATAATAGAAATATGAAGATTGATGCCCTTTGATCTTTAAAACTAGGTCAATCACCATGGCGGCAAGCCCAGGACAAATTCCTGACTTAAAGATGTTAGCACTGTTTGGATGTGGTGCTGTGCTTCTCAGAGGGGCCGGTTGCACTGTTAATGACCTGCTTGACCGTGATATTGATGTTAAGGTAGTATTCGTTTATTTGATTTTTCTCTCTTCAAAGAAAACCAAAGAAAAACAGAAAGAAAGACGGAATTAAATATCTAATGTGGTCAAAGCCCTAAATACTCATTCAAAGAAAACAAGAAAGAAGTAATCAACAGTCATGGCTGTTTATAACTAAAGTGGTCAAGGTTTCTAAATACTCAGATAGGCTTTTTCAGCATATAGAAGTTTCTTGATTTAATATTTAAATACTCTTGATTCTATAAAAATTTTAATTTAGCTCCTTTGTTCCTTCAGATCTCTTAAACACACAATGGAATACATCTCCTGAAATTCTTTATTAATTTAATTGTTGTTTGATTGCTTGTACAATGTTTCTGTTCTACTATAGGTGGAGCGCACCAAATGCAGACCCGTCGCTTCTGGTACATTGACGCCATTTCAGGGGATTAGCTTTCTTGGCTGCCAACTCTTACTGGGTCTCGGAATCCTTCTTCAACTCAATAATTATAGGTAGCTAACAAATTATACTCGATAGTTTCTCATGGAAGTTCCGTTAGCTTTTTGTTAATTTGTAGTCACTTGTTAGTTTTATTGGTACTTTAATTTGCATGTATGGAACCTTCAACCTGTTAAGTCATTATCAGACTTCCTGTAAAGTTCTTTATTTTGATATATGTTTTTGGTATGTTGTCAGAGTAGTCAGCGTTGCAATTAAACATTACCTTTTTCTGCTTATTTTGGAGTTGTGCAGCTATAAGCCTATAACTGCTTTTTTTTTCATGTAGCCGCATCCTGGGGGCATCATCTTTGCTTCTTGTCTTTTCCTATCCTCTAATGAAGAGGCTGACATTTTGGGTAAGGATTATTTACATTATTCTTAGCGTTTTAAATATCGGCCGATAAACTGATATTATCGGCGATTTATCGGCTTTGGGGGCCTTCTGCTATGATAAGTTTGATTTTAAATCGGTTATCGTTTTTGGATGTTTATCGGCGATAATGCGGCGGTAAAGTGATTTATCGGCCGATATTGTCAGCTAAAAATATCGGAATTATCGGTCTTTGGTTTGGGTTTGGGTTTGCTCTTTGGATGTTTCAGTATTATAAACTATTTATTGCTTTTGGAACTTGGTTGTTTTGGTGATTAGCTTATGTTTGTTTATAAATATTGACATGGCTCATAACTACTAAATCTCAACTTAGTAAGTTAGTTTGTAATCTCGTGATTACACAATAATTATGTTGATGATTCTTCATTCTTTATGTTATCTTGTTATTTGCTTGTATGTTATTCCATTTTTACTAACTATACATTCGAATGGTTTCATCGTGCGAGTCGTGCGACCAAGAAACAAGTTTCTACCATTAGTTAGTGATCCTCAACATGATTATTTACATTTTGGTATGTTTATATTTTATTAAGTATGGTTAGATTACATTTAAGGATATTATATTATGTATAAACACCATCCAATAATATCACTCCGATAAATACTAATCCCCGATATCTGCTATCCGATATGGATTTTACCAGTCCGATAAATCCCCGATAACCGATATTTAAAACCTTGATTATTCTTTAGTTGTTTGTTTGGCAGGGGTTGATGATTCTTCATTCTTTATGTTATCTTGTTATTTGCTTGTATGTTATTCCATTTTTACTAACTATACATTCGAATGGTTTCATCGTGCGAGTCGTGCGACCAAGAAACAAGTTTCTACCATTAGTTAGTGATCCTCAACATGATTATTTACATTTTGGTATGTTTATATTTTATTAAGTATGGTTAGATTACATTTAAGGATATTATATTATGTATAAACACCATCCAATAATATCACTCCGATAAATACTAATCCCCGATATCTGCTATCCGATATGGATTTTACCAGTCCGATAAATCCCCGATAACCGATATTTAAAACCTTGATTATTCTTTAGTTGTTTGTTTGGCAGGGGTAAGTGATATTCTTGTCTGGGTTATACTTTTATAACAGCCTCAAGCATATTTAGGTTTGACCTTCAATTGGGGAGCTCTATTGGGATGGGCTGCCGTTAAAGAAAGTCTTGATCCTACAATCATCCTTCCATTGTATGCTGCTGGTGTTTTTTGGACACTTGTATACGACACGATATATGCACACCAGGTACTTTTGATCCAAGAATTTTCCCAGTGGCAATATCTTCACATATTCCTTTATTTATGTAATGTTTCCTTGTTTTGTTGTAGCATCTTGTACCATGTTTAATCTCTGATGGAAGTTAGGAATAACCTATAAATTTAATATTCAGGATATAGAAGATGACTTGAAGGTGGGTGTAAAGTCTACTGCATTGAGATTTGGGAGTTTGACGAAGAACTGGATTAGTGGGTTCGGGATTGCATGTATTGGTAGCCTTGCACTCAGTGGATTGAATGCAGAACTTGGTATGCACTGATATTACCTTGCCTGTAACACTGTTTTCTCTTAAATGAATGCAAGATCTCCATTAAGTGTAAAGGAGTGACCATGTTTTGTATGGCAGCCTGGCCATACTACCCATTTCTAATGGCTGCAGCTGGTCAATTAGGATGGCAGATTTGGAATGTTGACTTGTCTAACCGGGCAGACTGCAATAGAAAGTGAGTTACAATGCAATTTAAGAATTTAAATGCAATATCAACTTTTCATCTGTTAAGAGTGTTTCTTTTTTTATCATACTTAGGGCCGGTTTGGTTTTTCTTTTTTAGGCTGCTTCTACTTTTTTTTAAGCCGTCAATAATTCAAATTATTGTCTATGGCATTGTCACCCTTTCATTTGTTATTGTGGTTTTTTAATTATGCTTAATAATTCAAATTATTTTTTTAAGAAGGAAAACCAAGTTACAACAAAAACGAAATGCTTCGGAAGCTTGTTTGTGTTATGTGAAAATGTAGCAAGGATGCAATATTTTTGAAATATGTTTTAACTGTCCTAGTATATGTGAAGAATATTCCCTTATATCACATTCCAATATAAACATTTAGGCAATCATATCAATGGCTAGTTTCGATTTGATCTGATATTCTTTCTGATGTGTATGCAAAAGAAAGTCTACGTTAAGATATAGATGCTGTCTGCATTTGGTATTTCAGTGCTTAATAAAGAAACTCAATGCAATCTTTTAATTTTTTTTTTGTTGGGGGGTGGGGGTGGGGGTGGGGGTGGGGGGTGGGGGGGGGGTGGATGGGGTTGTTGGACATTTGGGGAGATAATGTGAATAAGTATTTTTGGACTCCAATTGTGTTATCATTGCATAGATGGAACAAGGATATTACGGTTTTGGTGTTATTAGTTTGTTGGAAGCAAAGTGGTCAATTTTTGGCGGACAATTTTCGTACTTGGGATAAAATTGTCCCCACGCTATATACAAAATTTTTGGCCCTGGCCAAAAAAAAAAAAGAAATTTTTCCGCCATCCTTCATATTTGAAACAACTTATGTTACACTTTGTAGGGAAATGGATAATTTTGAAAACCATCTATGTATAAATAATGAATATATTGTAATTAATATATAGAAATCTATAATAATGATATATAATAAGAATATTATATAATAATGATATTCAATATATATAATATTATATTATAGTGTAATATAAATAAAATATTATATAAATTTAATTTAATATGTATAATTTATTCTATTATATTTTTATATTATTTTATATTACAATACAATATTGTATAGCATCATAGTATAATATAATTTATTAAATTATAATTATTAAACATGTCATATATCATGGTAATGATATTATACATCATATTATATTCATATATTATATCAATATAATGTGATGTATATTGAATTATAATATGATGCTTAGATGCTATAAATATAACATTATAGTCACATATTTTCTATTAAAATATGACGGGATAAATTTATTATTATAATATATTATATGATATTATATTAATTAATAATGTTGAACATACTTTTAGTATAATGTATTATAGTGTATTTACATACATGTATTATAATGTATTAAATATTATGATAAAAAAATTACATCAATTAATTTAGACTTAATTGATAAATAATAGCATAGTCTAGTGCAATGTAATGTATTACAAAAATATATTTTGTTAAATATATGTTACTACATTAACTTAATTACAATATAATAATTTATGATATAATATAATATATATGATATAATATATTATATTAAATGTTATAAGATAATGTAATATATTCATTATATTGTATTATTGAGTATTAAACATACTTATAATAAAAATATTGTGATTATAAATATTATAAATATTGTACTTTATAAATTAAAATAATGTATTATAATGTGTTTAATTATATAGTATTACAATATCTATAAACTAATGTAATTTTAAATGGTAAATGAATATCATATTTCAATAAGGTGCTACGTCATCAATTATCCTACTCAAATTGTTCCAATCCTACTTCGAAATTGTCCCGTTATCCCAGTTTATCTCACTTAATCCCACTCCAACTATCCCAATGGGTTAAAATTGTTCCATTGGGACAATTGTTCCATTTGGCCCAAATTGTCCTAATGAATAAGCCCCCAAGGTTTGAAATCACATTGTGTGACTACCCTGTGGCACTATGCATTTCATGCATTGCTTTGTTGGTCTTTTTTTCATGCAGAGACAATTACACAAGTTCACTATTCTGTTGCGTTAACCTTTAAGCATCTAAAGCTTTTGGCTGTTTTTAATTATGAAAATATACTTTCTATAAGTTATCATTTGCCTTTTTTTTTGCACTTTCAACAGAAAAGAGTCTGACCATTTCACAATATTTTCTTGCTAGATTTGTTTCCAACAAGTGGTTTGGAGCTTTTGTATTTAGTGGGATTTTATTTGGTCGGCTTGCGTCGTGACAGGTAATCAACATTTAGTCATATGATGTCTGTGCTATCGTACATAACGAGGAAATATGAATTTTTCCAAGACAGGCAGAATGAACATATCAGAAACATACACATCTTTAGACCTGATGAATTTCTATGGAGTCAGCAATGTATTTGATGAGTATATATAGAACCTGGTTTACTTGTGAAATGCACATCACTGTTACCTTTAAGTTGAAAATGTCTACAAAGTAATCCTATTGTTAAACTCTTTATTCTAGTTAGAAGAGTGATACTTCTGTTTGACACTTGTGCATTTCTTTGATTAATTAAGTTTTTACCTCCTCTTCTAACATCTGATGTACTAGGCTTGGAGAGGTTAGATTCAGCATAGTTCCATAGCTTTTCCAAGCTAGTATATTGTTTTTTACCTTGATTTTTTGAAGTTTACATACCATTAATGTGTCTGTATATGTTATAGGGATAAATGCTTGTAGTCCCCAAAATAGAGAACCAAATTCGGCCCCCGCCCCCCAACAAAAAAAGACTTGGTCAACAAGCCAAAACCCCCCAAAATCCACTTGTTTATACCTTAACCCCCCTAAATATGGTGTCATGTTACCTCCGATTCAAAAAGGAATAAAAAAATCCCTAAACCACATTTCCTTTTAACCATTACCACTCCCCCCTATTCTCGTACTTCTCTCTCATCTCTTCCATCTCTCCCGACCCCAATTCTAGACCCTAACAAAAAGAAACCTTAACCCAATTACTCATTTGTTTTCTTCTCTGTCAATTTCCCTTAAAAATTGCCATTGTTTTTCTCTGTTCACCTCTTCGTCATCATCCCCTCTCCAACAAAGACTGAAGACCCACAACTGTAGATATTTTCCCCCATTGAAGAAATTAGTGATGACGGATCATAATTTGAAGTTGTGGGGAGATATTTAGGAATGAGATCGGCAGTAGAAAATAAAAATGAGTCAAATGATATTGTGGATAGAGTGACTAAAGGGGACGACATCGCACAACATCATCTTATGCACGAAAGCCTTATTGATTGAGTAGAAGAAGATCCTCAATCTCATCAAGACTATAGCATAAATGATGTAGGCAAAGCTCTATTAGACTTGCAAAAAGAAACTAAGAGGATAGATTTGACAACCAAGAAATCATCTTAAAAGAAGTGAGTTATTAAACATAAGGTTTATTTGTTAAGGATGAGAATTAGTTGTTAACTTTAACCGCTAGTTGTTAAAGTTATGTATTGGTTGTTAATATTATATATTAACTGTTAAGTTTAGCTTTTAGTTGGTAAGTTTATATATTACTTGATAAGTTTTCTGCTCAGTTGTGAATGTTATTTGTTAGTTAAGGTTATGTTTTGATTGTTAAGTTATGTCTTAGTTGTAAAGATTATTTGTTTTAGGAGTATCCTTTATTGGGCTAGGTGCTCTTAACACTTTTAACTTTCTCCTTCTCCTTTCTGTGATAACTTTGGCATTCTCCTTCTCCTTCTCCCTCAAATCTCTTCTTGGTTCTCGATAAACTCTGGCCTTCTTCCTCAACTTCTTTCTAGGTTCATTTAACAAATTTTTAGGTTCTTCTTTAACCGGGGATTTGTATTTTTCAACTTGGGGAATTTCTAAAAGCTTTATCATCATTGTCTGAACTTAGCTTCGGTTGTAGAACCTCTGAGTGAACCACCAATGTCTCAGTTTTACCCAGTTTGTAAGTGAAGGCTTTGATTTAAGAGAAGTTGCAAATTTCTTATTCCTCGTGAGTTGATAGTAACGAAAGTTGCAAATGGGAATTATGACCTTAAGAACTAAGCAATTAAATTAACAAAAAGCAGTAACCTTAACAATGAATTAGATGTTTTAACATTCCTACCATTAATCTTGACAACCAAACAATAACTTTAACAATTAACAGATAGCCTTAACATCTAATTAGTCACATTAACAATTAACCATTAATCTTCACAACCAAACAATTTTAACATCTAATCAGTAACCTTAACAATTAAGTTTTAACCTTCACAACTAAGCAGTAATCTTAACAACTAAGCAATAACATAAACAACTAATTTTTATACTTAACAACTATACAGTAACCTTCACAACACATAACATTAATAAGAAAGCTATAACATTGACAATAGAAAAACTTATAGAATCCAGTTGGATATATTCTTGAAGATATAACTTTTTCTTGCCTTCTTTTTCTTCCAAGGCAGCTTCTACTGCCACATTTCTTTCATTGTACATATAGGTCCCTAAACGATATCCTTCACTTGATCAGTACTATCTAAAATTTGAACAAGTGTCTTGGAACCCCAAGAACTGACGTACGAGTTTCATGAGAAGAGCCTCAACATAATGCGTGGTTAGTGCTGGGGCTGAAACATTGTTCTTCTTAATAAAATCACGCTGTCAAATGCTATTTTTTCTCTCTCTGTTAGGACCCATAAACTCCCGTTCAGTTTAGAACCATGTATGGTGTGTAACCCATTCGATGTCGAATGAGCACTTTATGCCTTATATTCAGTTTGAAATCTGTGAAGACAAACTTCTTCTTCCTCTTGTCTTATTATCTCAACACATGAAATGTGGGTAGATCAATACCAAGGGGGCAAAACGCACGTAATGTTTGAAATTGCATATCTTCATAGGCATCCCAATGCCTTTTATCCATCATTGGAGCGAGCTAGCGCATAAACTCATAATATGCAATAAAGCTCGAGGTAGGACGAAATTCATATACAACCTTTGTTTTGAAAAGAGCAAAATGAACATACATAATTAGTTTGTTATGTAAAATATAAGAAAAGAATAAACTATCTATTAACCGTAACAACTAATTATTAACCTTAACAACGAACAAATAACCTTCATAATTAAGTAAGAACGTAAACAACTAAGACAAACTTAACAATGAATACATAACCTTATCAACTAACAAATAATATTCATAACTAAGCAGAAAACTTATCAACTAATATATACAGTTACCAACGTAAAGCTAACATTAACAACTAAGGTATAAAATTAATAACCAATACATAAGTATAATAACTAACTGTTAAGGTTAACAACTAATTCTCATCTTTAACAAATAAGGCTTCTGTTTAACAACTCACTTCTTCCGAGATGATTTCTTGGTTACCAAATCTTTTTTTTAGTTTCTTTTTGTAAGTCTAATAGGGTTTTGCCGGCATCATCTGTACTGCTGTCTTGATGAGATTGCGAATCTTCTTGTTGATGAATAGGGCTTTCGTGTGGAGAATGATGATGTGCAATGTCAGGGAGAACTTTTTCAATTGTTGCCCTAGCAGTCGTGGGTTCCCCTTTAGTTGCCCTATCCACAATATCATTTGACTTATTTTGCTTTTCCATCGTCGCATCTGTACCTAATTTTCTCCCCACAACCTCAAATTGTGAGTTGTCATCAGTACTTGCTTCAGCAGGGAAAATATCTATAGTTGTGGGTCTTTAGCCATTGCTTGAGAGGGGATGACAACGGAGAGGAGAATGGCGGAGAAAAATGGCAAATTTTAAGGGAAATTGACTGAGAGGAAGACAAGTTGTGTAGTTACACCATATCACAGCGTACCGGAATCTAACTAGTTCTAAAAATTAATGTTCCAACCAAAATCGGCAACCAAATGAAATTAATGTGCGTAGCACGTGCCAGACTTCTAGCCTCTCTTAACTTCAGTTTCCACTGTATAAATTTTAATCTCCTATATTTTTAAATTTTTTTAATCTCCTATATTTTCTTCATACAGCAAATCCTTATGCATATATACGTAGCCCAAGCCAGCTCATTAACACTATTCTGGCGTTAATTCCTCATTCGTTCCTCAAAAGACTCGAAAGAATCATAAAATTGCGAAACAGTAAGTCTACTCTTAAAGAGCCAAATTAGTTTTGGAAGCTGAAATTCACTGATAGCCTTCAAGGCTAGTTAATTGTATGTGCTCAAAGCAGTCTACTCCACTTAAAAACTGTACTTCTCTCATTGAGATTTGTTTACAGTGTATAACAGTGGTATGTAATTTTATCTTTACACATAAAAATAATAATTTATTGCACTATCTCAATAACGGAGAGCTGAATGACTTGTTACCGTCACATGAAATGTAGACCTGATGGAAGGTTGGTATGGCAATGGGATTGCATTTGACTGAAGGTCAGAAATGAGATTGAAAGAAATGGTAACATTGAGTTAGGGTCTTTTTTGTTAGGATTTAGAATTGGGGGTGGGAGAGATGGAAGAGATGAGAGAGAAAGGGAAGAGCACTAGGAGAATAGGGGGGAGGGGTAGTGGTTAAAGAAAATGCTAGTTTAGGGATTTCCCCCCTTTTTTGAATCACAGGTGTCATGGCACCATATTTAGAGGGTTAAAGGCATAAACAAGTGGATTTAGGGGGTTTTGGCTTGTTGACCAAGTCTT